AATCAAAATAATTATAACTCATTTAGTACAGTATCTATACCGATACTATGTATTATGCAATTTAAATATACGTAGACTTTATTCTATCGGTGACGTCATTTATATATGCACTGTCCGGGATATTAAATTTTGTAGATTATGTCCCGGACAGACATGTCCGGTCCCGTCCCATGTCCGTGTCCCGTCCCAAACCCAACACTACCTACCAGTGATTAATGCCCCGAAAATAATACGTCATTCTAAAGTGATAAAAGTTATTCAATACATCCATATCGTTAAAAGTGCTTAAGATATTTAGCAAATTTTCTGACTAACCCAGCAGAGATGGTTTGAAAGCACCATATTTCCGTATTCAAGTTATATTTACATTGAAATATCAATTTATTGAATCTATTATGCCGAAATCACAAGCTTAATTGAATCAGCAAAAAATCATCTGGCCAATTTTTATTAAGTGTTTCAAAAATATGATAATAATTCTGGCTGATTTATCTTCAGAAGCTTATACTGCCAACCCGTGGGCCAACGACAGGTCACCCACGGATAGAGATGGGCAAATTGCGGGATAATTAACCATAGCTGCCGCAACAAAATTGTCACGGCAGATCCTTGATTTTGATTGGCTAACAGCGCGGATCTTCAAAATTTTGGTCTGCATTACAAAATTGTTTACTAATTTCCGGCCAGAATTGACTTTTTAATTTTTTCATTACAAAAATAGAAATTTTTTAAAAATAAGCCCGCATTACAGTAAAATTGGCATAGGAACAATTTTCACTTAATAAACGGCTGCGATTTCATTAGCAAAATTATGAGTAATTCCGGCCTAATTTTTTGACAGTCGCTATTAGCCAATCAAAATTGAGGATCTGCCGCGCGGCACCCGACAAAGACCGCGAAACTAGTCTTTTGAACCGGTCCCCAATCCATAAATTAAGACCGGGTTAATAAGTCGGTCCATAGTAAGGATACCAAAATAAGTGTAATTACATAATTCAATTATTATATACAGTACTTTCTTGCAGAGTCAGAAGCATGTCTAAATTTGCATTCCTATTGGCTAAAGCGGACCGATCTTTGAATTAGAACTGGTTTAGTAGACCAGTTCATAAACCTTGGTCTGGTCCACGGTCTGCACCTGGACCTATCCTTTTGAACCAAGATCGGACCGTAACATCCCTAGTCCTGAGAAGCCTATTTTCCAGCGTCAATTGGCCAAATAAGAATCAGACAAACGTGAAAACATTCAAAACAAATGCTCGCTTTGCAAAAATCTTATCTCAAAATTTATGCTAGCACATTACCTTTGGGTCCTAACAAAAAAGAAATCCTTGCGAAGTTTTGCTACACTCTTTTAACCAGACCCGAACCCTACCTAACGTAAATAAAATTTTTTTTCAATGACGGTTTCCGAATATTACCATAATGGAAGATCAATTTTATTTAAATATCAAATATTACCATGACATGTAGGATGCGAATAAATAATATTATTAAATGTGTTATTTTAATATGACAAGGTGTTTTAGCGTTAGTAATAATGTTTAAGGATGGATGGAGGATGGAATTAGTGCTCGGCAAAATCAAACCAAAACTCGATTTTCGAGTTTTTGAAAAAGTTGAGCATCTATCGGTTACACAAATCGGGATTTAAATTATATCGAGTATAAAATTTATGTGTCAATTTCGCTTTTAATCGTTTTCGTTCGAGGTCGAATTTCGTTTTTTTTTCGTAATTTTTTTTCTTCGTCGATCTTTGTAGATTGCTTTCGTAATAATCGAATAGATTCGCGTATACGGGCTTGCCCATCATCTAATTCTTCGAGTGAAGCATTTTTAATGTTAAATTTAGGCAAGTTTTTTTTGGGAAAATAACTTTCGATTAAGATAGATAAGTTTTAAAAATAAATTTTATATTCGATATAATTTAAATCTCAATTTGTGTAACTGATAGATGCTCAAAAACTCGAAAATCGAGTTTTTGTTTGATTTTGCCGAGCACTAGATGGAATAAATATGTTAAAAGAAAGAAATTTTAGAAAGCGAACAGTTATAAAAGCCCATTAAGTGTTTTTTTTTTTTTAAGGTTCTCGAAGTTATTCCTTTATAAAGACTTTAGTGTGATTTTTTATGTTTATATTGTATCTTTTAACATATCTTGCGTTATTAATTATATTATATTTACACTATACGTATTTGTATTATGTAAACACTTTTTTTTTTGATTTCTCTGTTAACTATACATATCGATATATATACCTTTATTCTTTCTTGTATTATATAGTTAATTATGAATACATTCGAAGGCATTATCGAACTGGCTTAAAAAAAAAACGTGTCAGTATATTAAATTTTTACAAGCTTGTGTTATCCGAATAATATATATGGAACCGCAATTTCTCTGCGGCCTACAGATCGATGTTTCTTGTTAATTAAACAACTTGCACAAATTTATATTTAATCTATTTTGCTTATATATGTGTTGAAGCTTTTATGATACGATAATTACAACCAAAAATTATGACATCAAAAATATTACAATCGAACCAAACCTATTAAGGTACATCTTACAATAAAAATATGTATAATGTGTTTAATAATACATGCTATATATATAAATAAACTATATGTAAATTTCCAAAATTGGTTCTATCTATTTCGAAAATAACCAATAATCCAAACATTCTATGCAACTTATTTTAATAAAAATCAACCAGTCTATTATTAAATTAAACATTTTACGATAGAATTAGTCTATCTTTAACCAAAATCTCAATAAATAAGTAAATAAATAAATAAAATAAAATAAACAAATAAATAAAATAAAATAAATAAAAAAATAAAATTTTATCTCACAAAAATAACTATCAAAATTCCATAAACTCCAAATTAGAATCATTAGAATCTTGTGAACAAGCGAGCTTATTAGCGAATTCTAACTGTTGTTGTCTCTCTCGCTTTTGATTAAGTTGTCTTTCGTAAGCAAGTTTTTGAAAACTGTTTAAACTTTGTATAAATTTACTTCCAGTCTATAAGAATAAGAGATTAGTTGATACGAATTTGAAAAAAAAACAATAAATATATGAACTTACAGCATGATTATTAAGCCTATTGAACAATTCAATTGTATTATCTCTTACGGTCTTAAGTGGATAAAGCAGACCTAGCCCAATCGGAAATAATCCCCCTTGATTTTGTGGTAGATATGACAAGAACTATAAAAATTCAAGTATTAATAATTTGAAGTTAATAAAAATCAAAAGATATTCAACAATAAATATATTTCGAAACAAGAAACTATACCTCAATAATTTGTTCGTCGGTGGAAATACTAATAATAAACGCTTTGTATAAAGTTTCAACCTCTTGTTCAGGCAAACTTTTTAACATTTTTAATTTTGACACTTGGTGATGTACATCAAAGGATTTTATGTTACGTGTTTTCAAATAATTTTGAAAATCCTAGATAATATAGAATAAAAAAATAAAATAAATGCTGTAATGAATAAAGAAATGGTTGAATAATCGAATTATAAATTCTTTCAGCCCATTAATCATACAAAATTCTTACCAACTGATAATACTTGTAACTAATTGTCTGCCTCCATCCTTCGATCCTATTAACGTTAGCAGCAAATTCTCTATGCTTTGAATTATCATCCTGAAATGCTAGCCCTGTACCAAGTATTCCCGGATAATCTGTATCCTCCGGCATCATTCCGATTTTAGTTGAGCCAAAAGTCTCGACTTCATATAAAGCCGTTAGTCTTACGAAACGCTGTACATACTCTTGAAATTTACCACGTATCGCAGTTTCACCGTAGTGATGTTGAATTGCATGCATTACCTAAAAATTTTTTATTGAATTTTGTTGAATTATATTGAGAAAGATAAATATTTAAAGGATAATAAAGTGAAAAATGAATAAATGATAAAATGAAATAAAATATACTTCAGCCATAAATTCGTTATCAGCAGTGTCCCATTTTTCTCGTCCCCAAGATTCAGTTTTACTTGAAGGAGATCTTACACCTTCTTCAGGTTTTTCATCTGGTTTAGTTCCATATGAAGGAGTCGCAATATCCTTACTAACAGTAATTTTTCCAGTGTCGATATTACATAAAACATCCCACCATGAACTATGATCTTCAAAAATTCTATTTGTTACTCCAGCTATAAAACCTGGTCTATATAAATTGAAAAAACGTAAAATTATAGCACTCAAGCATAATAAAAAAAAAATCCAAGTATCGTAAAAATATTAAAATAATTCTCACACTTTTAATAAGTCATCAACATTTGTTAAATTAGTGTATGGAAAAGCACGTTCCGTAAATCCTCTTAAGACACCACCACTGCCACTTCCCATAGCACATGCGGATAACACATAATTGGCAACATCACCCGACGGATGCCCTTGCCCCAAAAAAATAATCCGTTTCTGAGTAAGTAGCGCATTAAGCAATAAAATTATTGGTTGAGTTTGATTTCCACTTGAATCCAAATGAGGATGAAATGGGTGATTAAATGGAGCCGGTGATGGTGGATTAAATGTAGTGATGAGTTTAATTAATGAAAACTATTAGATATTTTTTAGTATAAATTGAAGAAAATTACAAGTTGAGATAATTAATTAATAATATGAGTAAAACAAAGTATATGTAACTTACATCACCAACTTCTTCAGGATTAACAGTTAACGGCACTCTTATAGGAAGTTTAATTCTATTATATACAACTTTTGTCTCAAAGAAATGTCTATCTTTATTTTTACTCAAATTTGGAGCCAAATCAATATAAGTTCCTCGTTTCAATTTTTCTCTCTCTTCTTCAGTGACAATAACGTAATCACTTCCACAACCTTCACTATTTTCATTAATAATTCCCAATCCTTTACCAGAAATTTCATCAGATAATTGATCGCTCAATGAGGCTGTAGAACCTTCTTGTACATGTTTTCTATTGTTTTCAAATGCTGTAAATTTTTCTTCAAACATATCTTTATTTTCTGATGCACGTAAAATAGCTTTTTCATGAGCATTAAATATTGGCATAAATTTACAATCCATTGAATTCACAGCTTCATAGAGAGATGCAAGACATTCTACTGAAGGATCTTGAAAGTAATTATCAAGTGCTAATAAAAGAACTGGCTATATTAATTACAAAAAATTCTTTATAAATAATAGCAAGGATATCATCAACATTTAATATAAAAATGAAAAATAAAATACGACCTTATAAATATGTAAATATTGATGCCTAGTACAAATTGCCATAGCTTTTACTACAGCGCCCCTAAAAAACAAATCTGAATATTACTATATGAAAAAAATCAATCGTTTTTGCGAGCATTTAAACATTAAATACCATAAATTCTGACAATAAAAAAGCAACACACCTTCTAGCCTCTTTATCATGCCTAGTTCTAACCAAATTCAAAGCATACAACAATGGAGTTTCATTGTCCCGTGAACGATCAGACATTAAATTAGCTGAAATTTTATCAGGGTCTGGAATAGATTGATTTAAAAAGAACACTGTCCAATCTTCGGTACGTAGATGTGCACCATCTGGCAACATTAACTCTGCCAATAAACTAGATTAAATTAGTATCGAATGAAATGTAAAAATTATGAATCAGAGAATTAATAATTTTAAAAGACTAGAACAAAAGAACTTACTGTTCATCTGTACCGGTGGGCTCAGGATATTGATGCGCTAAAGAAGAACCTTTATCGATATCGAATTCTGCTAATAGTATATGAGTTACATGTTCTCCTAATGGTGGTTTCATTATGTGAACTTTTTTTTCGAGAATTGTAAATATTAAAATAAACGTTAGAATTATAAATTAAATATTTTAAATATTGATAATTGTATGATGAAATAAAATTGTTCTTACTAAAATTATTATTATAATTATTTTTATCGATGAATAAGAAAAAAATTTTCAAACAATCTAAATCCTAAAACCTTCAAAATTACTGCATGTTCTAACACGCAAGTTCGAAAGATCGTTTATATAGTACAGTAGTAAAAATCATGTGAAACGTGCACAAATTTATTCGCATGGTACAGATTCATGTGGTGAAACGTTAAAAACGTTAAAAATGAATGCCAAACAGCCAACCAATGGGAATATTATACCTGATAGCATGTTTGAAGTCCCTATCTGCTATATATAAGTTTAAGATTGCATGCGTTATAATGATATATTACCGATATATGCCAGGGTACTCAATTTCTTATGTTCTTAAGTGGTGAGAGAAGATAATTTATCTTTATGGTAAAACAAGAAAGGGCTTACTTTTATATATTGACTTATAGATATAAAATGTGTACGTACGTCGTGACCTTCAATTATTTACTGTATAAAATATTTTTACCTTCTACTATTTCGTTGTTTCCCAAATTGTTTATTCAAGTCTTTTTTTTGCTTCCATACAGAGAGCAAGCCATAAGAACTTGCTCTTAAGTTACGTACGGCTTGAATCAACCATTTTGAAGACACTTTCCTATTATATATAGATACAGATTTCGATTAAATAAATAAAATTATATAAACATATAGTTGGCTGAAATGTGCCACTGCGTGGCTATACTTGCTGGTAAAACTATTGGGATTTGGGACGAATTTTATTATATTTGGGATGGGATTTGGATTTTGGGATTTGGGACAATTTTATTATATTTGGGATTTGGATTTGGGTGGGAATTCAAAATTTATAGTTTTGCCAACATTTATATGTGCGGCACATGTCTATCTTATAAATACTGTAATTAAATCTTTATGATATTATGTGCTTGATGTGATTTAACCATATTAAATTGATTTTAATTTAAATCATAAAATTAGATATGAAGCATTTGCCTCATTTATAGTAATGCGGAGTACGGGCAAGAGAACTAGAATTTCACCCGACAGAACAAATTTTATGATATTTATCATCGCATGTTATCGTGCAATTATAATCATGATTTACAAGATCATTATTGACTAACTGAGTTTTAATTCGAGATTGTTGTGCTTTTGTAATAAAGTACAAAAAATACAAGAAAAAAATCTATAATCATAAGAGTTTGCACTTTAAACAAATAGTTAAAGTAAAAAAAGTCTGTACAGACATGACCAAAATTTGACATAGCAGTACGATAATTGCTTTTCGGAAAGCGATTGCTAAATTTATACCCTCACATTTATTATTCATACCTAACCTATATGCTACCAATATGCTACAGTTATTTAGCAGATCTATGGTAGAATAATGGGTACATATCTAGGAGATTTGTCTCCCGATATATACCCCCTCTAACAAACAAAAACTTTGAACGAAGATATCTTGGCAACCACCCGATCAAATTCGATGAAAATTTTTTATTTTGATTCGAATAAAAAAAATTTCATTGAATTTGGTCTGATATTTCTTTATAACTTTGAGCAAAGTTATCTCGATAACCACCTGACCAAATTCAATGAAACTTTTTTTTAACTTCATATAATTAAAATAAAAAAAGTTTCATCGAATCATCAGGTGATAGTCGAGATATCTTCGCTCAAAGTTTAAAAAAATTTGGCGCAGCTTCTTAATTATATATTGATAGGTGTTTTGAGCTTTTTTAAACTTTGAGCGAAGATATCTCAACAACCACCTGATCAAATTCTATGAATATTATTATTATTATTATTATTATTATTTGAATCCCTATTCTCATAGAATTCAAATAAAAAATTTTCATCGAATTTGATCGGGTGGTTGTCAAGATATCTTCGCTCAAGTTTTTTTTTCTGTTAAGGGGGTATAAAAACTAGCCCCTATCGAAAAAAAGTGTTGAATTCTAATAAATGGAAAGTGTAGGATTTCGTAACAGTCAGAACGAAATTTCGGCATGCCAGGTCTACGGTTTATGCGAATAATTTTCATTTTGGTATTATTATTTTTATTATTTTGTTTCTACGCCGAAGTAAAAAAAAAAAAGAAACTGATAAAAAAATGATGGAATTTATGAAAACAAGAAAAATTGGAATTAACCTGAACTTAACTGAATTTTTGGAAAGTTAAGTTTAAAATTTAAAAGCCTAAAGGCAGATCTTTAGCACACATATATTTGAGCGTCAAGAGAAAACAAGGCTCCGGCTTTTAATGATAATTAGAAATTTTAGCGGTTCCAATCCTTATTTTTCATTCGTCATAGGATTTTTTCCAGTTTATGTTTGATTTTCCGTCATCACGTAATATACCCCATAAATGTGTATGACATAGATAATATTACATCAACGTATTTTAGTAAATTCTTATGTGAGTGTCGCCAAAAGAAAACCCGGCAATTTAAATATAGACTATATTTAAATTGTCGGGGTTTCTTTTGGCGACACTCATATAATACTCAGATGCTACAAATAATTACAATATATACACCAATAGGACTATGTATTCCATTTTTTAAAATATATATACGAGTTGTTTATTTTTTGCTTCAACATCATCCTAGTTTGCATTAGTGCGACACTTTGTCTTGGTAATTGTAACAAAATCGACCTAACAACACAGAACACACATAAATTTCCATTTTGATAGTTCATGAAATAACGTTTGTTACTTTTAAATTTACGAATTTACGAATGACCTGTCAATTTCGGAGCAACATAACTTGAAAATTGACACATAAAATATTATACCACTTGACATTATATTGATATAAATTTATATAATATGCTAGTTATACTTAATAATATCAAAAATTATTATTATCGCTATTTTATAACCTTTAACAACAGACTTATTTTATTCCCTTTTTATAACAGGAATCATGGCTGATTCAAAAGATAAATAACTTATTAGTTACAGAAAATAGTAGAGCTCAACAATCACATCAACGCTCTAAAAATAACGACTAATGAGCATCTATTGGAAGCTCGGAAAGGTAAAAATATAACAAAATGTACTACCGTATAAGCGCGTAATAACGCACATGGGCGTTATTTCGAAATTTCAATTTTTTTAAAAATGGCATATTTGACT